TATATATATATACATGTGTATATATATATATAAAATCTATGAGGAATGTAATGTAATGTGGATATACTCACTGCCTAACAACAGTCTGATACATGTGTGCCCCTTCCGTCGTCTGCCACCCTCCCGCCGCCCCGTCACACCCACAGGGGAGAACATTTCGGAGGTCACACTGCTCTACTGTAGCGGCGGTGTCCTTGACAAAACGTCCAAACTGCTTCAGGGAAGAGCACTACAACAATGATAATAATATTATTATGATGTCAGTTGTCTAGCGGTTATTCTATCAGGCTTGCAGCTGAAATGTCGTGGGTTCGAATCCCGTCAGGGGCCAGAAGTTGTATTTTTTGGAAAGGTACTTTACTCGAATTTACGACGTTGCGTCCTTGGGAAAGGCGATTTACACAAATTTTCCCAACTCCACTAATGTGCGAATGGGTACCCGGTTATAGATAGACAGCGAAAGATCTTGTCAGTTTGTTAGTACAATGTTTGAGCTCGTATTTTCCGCAGCTTTCACCGTACGCTTCCAGGGAGGCTGAGAATGCCTCTGAGTGTTCTTGGGTCTATTTGAGTGATTGCAATTCTAAAGCGCATAGAACATGCTGCTGAGCTTGGGTGAGCGCTATCCTTCCTCAGGCGTCCGGTCTAGAGCAGACACCGATGATCATGGCACCCCACTCTTTCCTTTGTTCTCTGTCTTCTTGATCTCCTCGGTTTTTCTTTTTGAGCTCTTCGTTGCAAAATTGTTCAGGCCATCGACTGTGCATATACTAATATTATTCTTTGTCTTCGTCTACTCTTCTTCCCTTCTGTCTTTCCACACAGCAGCAGTCTCTCTATTCCATGCGCTAAGTAAGTGCACTTATTACTAACGTTATTATTAATAGGCCACAACAATATGTGACAACTCGAAGATTGACAGTCACAATTATAATATGCCAAACTCCCTTACGCTGTACGGCGGAACAGCGTGGTTCCTGCTGCACTTGGGAGCGTTACAAGTCCTCACAATACGTTACAGTGTACGTCACAGATTGTTACAGCACTTAGCACTCTCAAACACGTTACAGTATACGTCACAGATTGTTACAGCACTTAGCACTCTCAAACACGTTACAGTATACGTCACAGATTGTTACAGCACTTAGCACTCTCAAACACGTTACAGTATACGTCACAGATTGTTACAACACTTAGCACTCTCAAACACGTTACAGTATACGTCACAGATTGTTACAACACTTAGCACTCTCAAACACGTTACAGTATACGTCACAGATTGTTACAACACTTAGCACGCTCAAACACGAAAAGTGGACGAACAGTTTCGTTTTAAGAAAGAATAATCCTTCTGTTACATCGCAGAGTCCTCAACAAGATCTATTCAACAGTACCGAGTCTCCAACATGGTCTATTCAACATTACCGAGTCTCTAACATGGTCTATTCAACAGTAACGAGTCTCCAACATGGTCTATTCAACAGTACCGAGTCTCCAACATGGCCTATTCAACAGTACCGAGTCCCCAACATGGTCTATTCAACAGTACCGAGTCCCCAACATGGTCTATTCAACAGTACCGAGTCTCCAACATGGCCTATTCAACAGTACCGAGTCCCCAACAAAATCCGTTCCCTAGTGAATACTGGGTACTGAGTACAGATTCTCGTCTGCTTCTTGCTTCCTTGGAGTGCCTAACTATCTGATTTTGTTTACAACACCGCGTTTTTCAGACAATATTACATTTTTTATCACTTTGATTTGGTCGCAATAGCCAAAGGCATGTGCTAACACCTACCAACTGCAGCGGTTTTCGTCCCTCTACTATGAAGAAAAGCAATTGTGAGGCAGCGTGGTGGAATCAGGCTCTCGTCATAGTTTGTGCATGTAGAGTTATTAGTACGATCTTAAAGCTTGTTCACTTGTCATTATTTGGATGGAAAAAAAATCCATTTATCTTGAATACACGTTGAAATAATTTATTTGCAAATTAAGGAGGTGGGGGTCACCTATTTTCTGAGGTAAAATTAGTGACAAAATGGCCATCAAAGATTAGTTATTTCCTTAGCTTAAGAGTCCGTGGCAACTGAAAATTTACATTTATTGTATGTACCTTTAAACAAAGTTTTCAGAAAAATCTACTCAGAAATGAGTCCTTTAATGGGCATGAAGGTGTTGAACCAAAAAACAAAAGTTTGATACAAATTCACAAACCTGCAGAAAAATGCAAGTTTCTTCACTTTGATTATTTTGACGAGAGCCTGATTCCATCACGCTGCATCACAATTATTGGCAAGACGAGCAGATCGACAATTATTCTTTTTCCTTGGGGTATCAGGTCTGGAGCAGACTTTGACGATCATGGCACCCCATTCCTTCCAGTTGTCTCTCTTCCTTTACCTCGGGTTTTCTCTTTGGGTTATCTGTTGCAAAGCTGTTCAGGTCATATGTATATGCTGCTTGAAAATTATGTTCCTTGATAAGAGCAGCATCTAAAGAAAGTTAGCTTTTTTTCTCAATAAATACGTTATCAGTAGTTCTGACGATTTCTGTCTTTGGTCTTTGTACACTGGCAGCCGGCAATCTCTATAACTATTTTTTAAAAAGAATAAATGCCGTTACTTCTGCAGCAGAACAAGTCATTGGACCCGTGATGTCCCACAATGCAGCGATTGCATTATGACTTTACTGTCTGTGACAGCTTTAGCGATTTATTAAAATTCTCTCTCTCTCTCTCTCTCTCTCTCTC